CTACTGAAAAAAAAAATCTTCCAGAAGTACACGAAATTAATTAATTAATTAATTAATTTGAGATGGAATTTCACTCTCGTTGCCCAGGCTGGAGTACAATGGCGCGATCTCGGCTCACTGCAGCCTCCACCTCCCAGGTTCAAGTGATTCTCCTGCCTCAACCTCTCAAGTAGCTGGGATTACAGGTGCCCACCACCATGCCTGTCTATTTTTATATATATATATGTGTGTGTGTGTATATATATATATTCTTTTTTTAGCAGAGATGGGGTTTCGCCATGTTGGCCAAGCTGGTTTCCAATTCCTCACCTCAAGTGATCCACCTGCCTCTGCTTCCCAAAATGCTAGGATTACAGGCGTGAGCCACCATGCCTGTCCCAGAAATAGACAAAATTTAAATCTACAATTCATACTAAAATTTATGTTGCTCAGGTAATTCCTTAGTAATGTTAATCCCTGTTGCCCAGGAAATTCCTTCCAATATTAAGGAAAATAAATGTATTTAAAAAAATAAAATGCATTATTTTAATATGTTATTGTGTTGACTAAACCATAATTATAACTATATTTGTAATTATCAATGTTTCCATTCAAGTCAAATTCTAAGAAGAATTCTCCATCCTTCTGACCCCTACCCCAGTGTGTTTTGGAGTCACCATATGCCAGCTGACCCTGGTTCACACCAGCTCAAACGGGCCAATTGTGTACATTTCTTCCAACCTTGCAGTCAGTAACATCTTGTTGGCAGCTTGAAATGGGTCAGGGGAGTATTTACCCCACGGAAATTCACAAATAAGGACTTTCATTTTATTTGGAGATTCAGTTGCTAAACATTTACCAACATACTATGGCCTACCCATTTCCTGCTCCTAAGAAATATGCTCCCCAAACAGTGCCTTTTCCTAATCCACTTTAATCTTAAAATGTAGGGCGTCTTGTAATAAAATAACCTGTTATTTCTTTACAATCACTGAATATGTGCTCAATTTAGACTTCAGCATAACAAGACCAAAACTAGAAAAAATAACCTTAGGATAAAGAGCATGCATTAGTCATGGGGCATTGCTGGATGGAAAGTATTGTAAGGTTTCAAAAATTTTGATTGACAGTATATATTAAGAAACCTAGGCCGGATGCAGTGGCTCATACCTGTAATCCCAGCACTTTGGGAAGCTGAGACGAGAATATCTCTTGAGTCCAGGAGTTTGAGACCAGCCTGGGCAACATGGCGAAATCCTGTCTCTACAAAAAATACAAAAAAAAAAAAAAAAAAAAAGCCAGATCTGGTGACATGTGCCTATAGTACCAGCTACTTGGGAGACTGAGATAGAAGGATCACTTGGATCCTGAGAGATCCAGGCTGTAGTGAGCCAAGATCGTGCCACTGCACTGCAGTACAGCCTGGGCAACAGAGTGAGACCTTGTTTCAAAAAGGAAAAAAAGGAAGGAAGGGAGAAAGAAAGAAATCTAAAAGTTTATAAAATGTACTAAATCACTTCTTTGCTTATATCTTGACAGTGGCCTCCATTACACAAAGAATGAAACTTACCACTTTATAGCGAACTTTAAAACAAAAAATGGTGTCTCCTATTTAAATCCAGCCTCATTTTGCACTAGCACTCCCTCTCCCTCTCCTTCTCACTTCCCCTCCTTCAACTTTCCTATTATTTTTTCTGATTCTCTTATTAACCAAACCCATTTCCTCCTTAACATCACTGTGTTACTCTTCGCTCTGCTTGAACACTCTTTTCCCAGTTTTCCTCATCCTTTTTGAGTTCCTTGTAATCACTGCTCCCTTCCTCCCCCACTTCTCCTCCTCTTTCTTTTCCTCCTCCTCCTCCTTATTCTCTCTCTTTTCTGTCTTTATCTCTGCCTCTCTATCTCTATCATCTCCTCCATTTCATCCTCCCCCTCTCTCTCATCATGGTTTAACTCTCACTTCTGCAAAGAGCTCTTCTGTGACCAGGCTACAAACCTTGCAGTTACTGTGTATCTCATTACCCTACTTATTTTCTTCTTACATTTGTTCCCATTTGAAACTATCTTATGTAAGACTCTGTTATTTTCACTGTCTTCCTATGGTTGACTATAATATTCAGGAAAACAGATTTTATCTGTCTTTCTTGCTGATAAATATTCAGTCCCTTGGACCAGTGACTGAAGGGAAGAAGGAAGGAAAGATAGAGGGAAGAGAATTTAGCATCTTGGTCTTGATTTACAGAGGTTACTGAAATACTAATTTCGTTAGTAGGCAGCTTCACTTGTTAAGAAGTTTCTCTTCCTGGACTATAGTGACAGGGAGTTTTTTAAGTCCACTGTAGATGTCCACTTAGACAAAATCTGCAAATACGTTGCTCTGTTTTCAGGCATGAAAACATTTGCTGGAGTGTAGCCATCAACATATGAAAGGTTAAAACTTTGTGAAATATTAATACTGGGGCTTTGAAAACCAGAGCAATAGCGTTTATCCAAAGCATCAGGTTTGCAGTCATTCTACTTTGTGAAGTTTTTTTTGAATGTGTAACATATGATACTGGTCTGTGTACTTGACCCTTCAGGCTAAATGTAATGGATGGTGAATAAGGATGCATCCAAGAAGAAAAAGGAATCAAAACAGGCTTATTTCTCTAAAGGAGTATCACAGAGTAAGAATGTTTGGTTTCAATCATTTTGGCAGATCATTTAAAATAATTTGATCTTCATCCCATGGATTTGAAAATGTTTTTAAAGCACAATGTCAGCATCCAGTTAATTCAAAGACAAATTGTTTCTGAGACTACTGCTGATCTGTCTAGGATAGCTGCAGGATATACTGCTGTATCCAACATTAACGTAGTAGCTGGAAAATATCAAGAAATATTTTCTAAGGCTTTGGGAGGTGTTATTTCAGTGGCTCCGATTGATTTCATTATTATTATTCCTGAAAATGAATTGCATGAGCAGTGTATAACTTGACTTATGTCTGCCAGGTAGAAAAATCGAATCTTTGTCCTAGAGGACATTATAACTGAGAAAGGGAAGATGATCACACAAAATCATATGTGGAAATACAGATGCAAAGATCATCATCTTGCCAAACATAACTTTGGTTTAAAAGAAAGTATATAATGAAGCCCATGGGAGGAGTGATTTCGGGGATTTAATTACTATTTAATCAGATTTTTCCATTATCTGGAATATTTAGAAGGGAATTAACCTAAAGAAGTTATAAGCACGATCATACTATCAATAACATTTCTTTGAATGTAACGAAGTTCTGTAGCTGTGAGGGATAGGATACATAGAAAGGATCAGGTCTGTTTGTTCGCAAATACCATGCACCCCTTTACAAGAATAGTTTATGATGACAAAAAAATGTAATTTTCTGTCACAGCCTTATTAAGTGTTTTAGACAGCAGGGACAATAGGAGGAGACTGAAGTAATAACAGCAGCATGGTATTCTGAAAGAATTAGCATGCCTCAAAAAATTCTTAACATATTCTCAAAATTAATCTGTCTTTGTGAAAACAGGGCTAGCTGTTTCAATTTGCATTAATCTGTTAAACCATGCACAAGTTCAGTTTACTCAAGTAACATATCCAATGTTAGCTTAATTAATTGATTGTCTGACCAATTTAATCTGATAAACCAATTATCTGACATGTCCAAGATAATGCCTCTGTAATATTAACAGTCTGCTCTCGCTGTTTAAGATATAGAAAGTTCTATACAATTAGATTACCACAAAATTGTCCTAGACCCTGTTCTTTGGGGGTGCCTTTTAACGGTGGCTGGGGGGAATTTAGAAGGATTAAAATAAACAGCAAATTAAAAAAAAAAAGGAGGTTGTGATTCGGGCAGTCATCAGATTCATCTCACAAGGAACCATCACCAAAGTGAATCCTCAATCTGCCACCATTGTATTGAGAGCCCTCAGGCTTCTGTCAAGATGTATTTTCCCACTGAGATCAGCCACTGGTGGTCCTTTTAAAGCTGATTCACCCAGATCAATATAATCAGACAGATGGAGAGGATGGCAACATGTCACAAATGATGACTTGCCTCAAAAGAGCCGACCCTGAGTGTATGACATTTCTCTGTAGATGTTCCTTTTGAAGAACCTAACTGTGCTTTCTATGGTTTTTGTTTTTTGTTTTTTGTTTTTTTGTTTTTTGGGTTTTTTTTTTTAGCCAATACCCTAACCCATCCTAATACCTTGCACAACACAGGGAATCTGGAAGATTCCTAGAACTAATTGGCTTGACTTAAACACACCAGAATGGTAGAGTCATGCCCAAGTAACTCTATAGGCTCAATGAGAAGCTTTACTCTTATAAGCAAAAATATTTCTATCAATACATGTCTGTAGTATAGAGAATTGAGAGTAAGTAACCATAGTCATTTACAAAAATACAAATTGTTGTGGGAGCTGTTTTATAAAACTGTGTGAAAGAAAAGAAATTCAAAAGAAGAAATTTTAGTTAGGATATAGCTTTAAGTAGCCGTGGGTAAATGGCCCCATGCTAGGAAAACTGTTCCCCTGCAAACAGAAAACTTGCCTCGCTTAATTCTTTTCCAGTGTTTTTACTATACTGCAAAAGAGTCTTCCAAAAATGTTATCTCATATGCATCCCTAAATGTCTAGCCAGAAACAATTATTAGTACCTTTTAAATAATCAAGTTGTACTCTCAAAAAAGAAGAAAAATATGTAACTTTTCCCAAAAATAAGTAGTGGGAAAATAGTAAATACATGCCATTACTCATTGTTGTTATACTTCTTTGTTCATTGCACTTTGCTTTATAAGATATATATTTAATATTCATGTAAAATGCTTTCTTGGCACTAAGTCAGTATCTTCCCAATGAAGAGCCCATTGATGACACAGAATGGAACTTCTCTTCTAATTAAAGACTGCCTATTACCCAGCGTCCCTTTTGTCGCATTGAAGAACAGGGAACTTTTTATTCTTATTAAGAAATGGCCTTTCAGATTCAGTAACAACATGTTCTGTTCCTCAGGAAATAAGAGAAGATCGAGATAGGGCACGGCTGGACTCCATGGTGCTGCTGATTATGAAACTGGACCAGCTTGATCAGGACATAGAGAATGCCCTCAGCACCAGCTCCTCTCCGTCGGGCACACCAATGAACCTGCGGCGGCACGTTCCTGTGAGATTTCCACTTTCTACTTATTTTCCCATAAGAGTCGTATCTCTGTACTGTATAGTCGTATCTCTATACAGTCCCTCTTGCAAAGGAAACATCCTTGTTAATGGCATCTAACAACATATGACTCCAATACAGTACCATAAAGATAACCAAAATACTTCTATGCATCATGCATACATTCTAGGCATACTTCTATGCAAAGAGGCCACAGAGAAATGGTTGATACAAAAGAACATGTTTTTCATTAAACAGGAAGGAAAGTCACCTTGGGAAATTGTGCTTTGTAGTGATTGAACCTTCCTTAATTGCCAGTCTTCTCTGATATGAGAGAGACTCTATTAGCAAGTACTATGTCTGTCACTGTCCCACAAATTTGTATTGCAAGTAAAAGATTCCTATTATAGATTTGCTACATGAATAACTGGATGGATGGATGGATGGATGGATGGATGGATGGATGGATGGATGGATGCTAGTTGAACTAGCCCAACACACTACAAGAAAGAATTTAGATGAGATTAACTTGAGAAAACTCTAAAATTCACTTAGTGAGATACAGTGAAAGAGAGAGCTGAGAATTTCATTTTATTATGCATCAATTTTACATAATACAGACACTCCTCCGAGAGTCCAGCACTCAAAATCTGGAAGACAGATTCTAGGATCGACTATACGCTTTACATATTTACTATCAGCATCATATTAAATGACTTAGTTCGTACAGATCTAGGAAATGTGATGGTTGAGTTTACTTATAATTAAGCTATGAATCACTGTTCAACTCATGTATTACTTGTGTTATTCAATAACAAACATATTAAATCAAGAAATTTGTATTTACCTGAAATCAAAGCAGTAGAAAAACATATATATAAATTTAAGCATCTACTGAAATATAACTGTTGTCTATCAAATGATTTGATACATATTCTTCTGCCTCCATTTAAATTGTCAACTGGATTTTATATTGCCCACATTATCTCATGGAATATCACAATTGTTAGGTCTGTAAATAGAGATATATTCAGAATAGGCAAATATAATACAGTGGAAACATTATGAACTTTGGAGTGTGAAGGTCTGAGTTCAAATGCCAGCATTATACCTGACTTTCTGGGAACATAAAGTTATTTAATTTCTCAACTGCAGGTTCATGTGAAAAACGGAGATATTATTTCCTAACTAATGGCTCTTTGGGAGGCATAAATGAAAAAATTGTATGTAAGAGGTATTGCACAGATCAAGCACAGAGTACATGGTTAATTCTCCTTCCTCCCCCTTGTACTAGACTCACTCACACCAGGCCTTGAGCTAGAGATGAATAAGACATATCCCAAAGCCCTGGAAACTGCTTTTTGATCTTTATGTTTTTCTGGGTCACCTCTTGTTCTTTCTTTATGTTCCTTAGAATTTAAAGCTAATTTTAACATTCTTTCACCATCAAATTTTTTCCCACAGAAGTTTCCACTCCTTTTGATAATTGTGTGGTGGAATAAGAGGATTATAATGGCAGGATTAGGACCTTGACCATCTACCAAGGAGCACTGACCCAGATACAGAGGACACACTGCCTCTGCCCCACCCTCATACTTCACTGTGAATTTATAGATTAGCAGGAAGAACAAGACACACAGTGAAACACTCACTGCCCCCCAACTCCACCCCAGTTTGAGAATATTTATGAGAAAATGCCAGAATAAGTTCTGCATATCATAAAAACTATCAAGAATAATATAGTCTTTAAGGATGTCTTTAACATAAAAAAAAATTAAAGCACAGGTAGAGATAAAGGTTTAAAGGAGGCTGCATAGATAAAGCCTTATATATTGGCTGTGGCCTGATGAATCAACAGAGCCCAGGATCTGGTGGTTTTCTCCTTTGCAAGGCTGATTTTATCCAGGCACTCACAGTGTGCCAGTCTCTTGGTGCTTACTGAGATAGCCAATCTTGTAGGATGAATGGGGACAGGGGATGAGATGAAGACTAAGTATTTAGTGAGTGCTAACCTTTATGTAAGTTACTTCATTTAACCTCTTGACAGTCCTACCATGAGAAATCTGAGCTTCAGAGAGAGAGGATGAGTAATTTACCTGTGTTCATACTGATGGGGAGCAGTGAGTTATTTACCAAAGGTCACCCAGCAGGTGAGATTTGCACATCTGTCAGACTCCAAAACCTATGCTCATTCTGCTATATTAGAAGCCTTCCCAACATGCCAATATTTTATTTACAATGAGATACGTACAATTTCCAGAACCAGAATTCCCTGGTTGTCAGACAGTCAGGGCGTTTTCTTCCTAATAATGGCATGTTTTGAAATTTGAATTAGGAATAGTTTTGTAGTCAATGTTTAATTAAGGGAATGCTGACAGTCTCTTGGGATATTTCATTGATACATAGGGAAGTTCAGACACATACAGGCCAGAACCACTCTACCACCTTCGATTGGGCCTCCCCTGCTGCTCTGCAGTATCTTTTGGTCTCCCTGGATCTTCTCCCATATTTCAAGGTAGTCATTCAACAATCTTACTTGCACTTATCTCTTAGCATCCTTACCTCTTAACACCCTTGCCTTCCTCTTCTCATAGAAAAATGAGACCATTGAAAGATGTCCCAGCATCACACCAGCAAATAGCTATAGGTGCCTCTTTGCTTCTTTCTCTCCTCCAACACCAATAAAAGATGTGTTGCTCCTGTCATCTAATACTGATCTGTCTCCATCCTCATCCCCATTCCTTCCCACCTGCTTTGCTCTACCAATTATTCGGACTCTCACTTAGGTTCAAATTCCATTGCTCTGTTCCGACTAGTCTTCACCCTTTTTCTCTATAGCAAGTATAGTTGGGAGTACAGGCATGCATCACCACGGCTGGCTGTGGTTTTTTTTGTTTGTTTGTTATTGTTGTTGTTGTTGTTTGTAGAGATGGGGTTTCTCTATGTTGCCCAGCTCTATGTTCTAGGGCTCCTGGCCTCAAGCAATCTTTCCACCTCGGCCTCCCAATGTGTTAGGATTACAGGCATGAGCCATCACACTCAACCTCTTTCTTGATTTAATTGTTGGCTATTGCTCCATCATTTCTCCCCACCCCTTCTCTCATCTGACAGATCCAGCAGTGCCAAAGCAGCCTCTCACCACAGCATTCTGTATTTTCTCCACCACCTACCTATTCAATAAATCCTTCCTTAGTTTGACTCTGCTGTTAGTGAGTAGGAGAAGAGATGTGGATGGGGAAGACTTAATTGTTCTTTTTTTCTCTTGACCCTCTTTCAGATATTGCCGTAGTACATCCCTTCATTTTTAAGCCAAACTTTAATCTCCTCTTCATCTTATATTTCTTTCCTGATTTATAATTTATTTTTATTTTTTAGAGACAAGGTCTTGTTTTTGTTTGTTTGTTTGTTTTTTGAGATGAAGTCTCGCTCTGTCGCTGGAGTGCAGTGGCGCGATCTCAGCTCACTGCAACCTCCACCTCCCGGGTTCAAATGATTCTCCTGCCTCAGCCTCCCAAGTAGCTGTGATTACAAGCATGCACCACCATGCCCAGGTAATTTCTGAATTTTTAGTAGAGACGGGGTTTCACCATGTTGGCCAGAATGGTCTCTATCTCCTGACCTCATGATCTGCCCACCTCGGCCTCCAGAAGTGCTGGGATTACAAGCATGAGCCACTACGCCCAGCCAAGATCTTGTTCTTTTAATTTGCATGCTTTATATTTCTTGCTCAGGCTGGAGTGCACTGGCACAATAAATAAATCACTGCAGCCTCAAACTCCTGGGCCCAAGCAATCCTCCTGCCTCAGCCTCCTGTGTTGCTGGGAATATAGGCATACATCACCATGACTGGCTAATATATTTTTTTAATTATTGAAGATATGGGGTTTCTCTATGTTGCCCAGGCTAGTCTAGAGCACCTGGCCTCAAGCAGTTTTCCCACCTTCGCCCCCGCAATGTGTTGAGATTACAGGCATGAGCCATCACACACAGCCTCTTTCTTAATTATTGGCTATTGCTCCATCATTTCTCCCCACTGCTTGTCTTATCTGACAAATCCAGTAGTGCCTGTTCAGTCTCTCCCCACAGCATCAGATGCGATTGAATTGCTTCTCTTCCTTCACTTTCACTCCTCCCCTGGCTTCTGGCCGCTCTCCTGTTTTTCCTTGTATTCTTCAACAGTTGCTTTCCAGACCCTTCAATGGCTCCTCTTCATACATCTGCCTCTGAAATCTTATATCAAGATTCTAGACTCAATTCTCCCTTTGTCTGGCTTTGAATATTCTCCCTGGGAATCACCACAGCTTCCATTCCCTTCTCCATATTGAGGGTCACCAGTGAGACCTTTTCTTGTGATCTCCAGATCAGAACAACCAATGGACCAGAAGATGCACCCTTCCCTGAGTGGGTTGAGTGGTATAAGCACTTCTAGTACACACATCACTGGAGTCCCTGCCATGATATAAACCCCACAGAGAGCTCTATACTCCCATTGCCTGGCCTAATTGGAGGCATAGGATAACACCGATGGATGGAGTCTTGCAGGAAGATGTCTTGTAGGATTAATTACACAAAGCAAGGTGGGGGAGTGGGTCACAGGGAAGTGATGAGTTGGCAGTTGTAATGATTACCCAGGGTTTATTCGGTGCTTGATTTGCTTATGGTAGCAGTGGAAAATTAAAGGAGAGAGTGGATGTGAAAGATCTTGGGAGAGCTTTTGGGTAATTTCTCAAATTGAACAGAGGATAGAAGAGAAAATAATAAAGATTTGTCCTAAACTACACATTGATGGTCCTATTAAAATTACATATTTAGTTGTGTTTGAGGCCCCTGCAGAATATCATGGTGGTTACTTTAAAAAGTTGAATTCTGGGGTCAGACATACCTGAGCTCTAATGCCAGCTCTGCCTTGGGATATGACTTTGGTCAAGTTTTCTACCTTAAGCCTTGGCGTCACCCACCGTCTCTCGTGTGATGATGGTGCCTTCCACATAGAGTTGATGAACATTGAAGCAGATAATGGTTGTACAGCCTTGTCTGCCAAAGGTAAAAATGCAATAAATGGTAGAGTTTTTAAAAGTTATTATTTCACCTTGGAATCATTATACGGTTTGAAAGATGCAAGATTACTCTATTATTTATCTAATCAAATCACAAACAGGAAATTAATGCAAAATATTTCTAATACACCTAAAGGTCAAATAGAAATGACTTATAAATTACCTGCTACTTATGATTATGCATTCAATGTTTATAAATTATCTGCTATTTAAGACTACTTGATGTTGATCCAATTTGAAAGTGTAATGAATCATATTCTTAAGGTAAAATGTTGTTTGTCTTTTCTACGCAAAAAAAAAAAAAAAAAAAAAAAAAAAAAAAAAAAAAAATGCTATTTAAGACTACTTGATGTTGATCCAATTTGAAAGTGTGTAATGAATCATATTCTTACAAATGTTGTTTGTCTTTTCTACGCGGTATATGGTTAAAAAAAAAAAAAAAAAAAAAAAAAAAAAAAAAAAGACATGGCCCTGATCCAAAATCACTCCAGGCATCAGATATTTGGTCAGAGTTATGTCTTTTACACACATGCACACACACACACGCACACACACGCACATACATTTAAAGAGAGTGTAACATTATTTTTTGCTGCATATGTCTTTTGCACCCTTCCAACTGAAGAAAATTCAGTTTCAATGCTTTTGATCACATAATTTTATAGCAGAAATTATAAAATTATTTCTATTATGAGAATTAAGAAAGAAAAGGTGGCCAGACGCAGTGGCTCACGCCTGTAATCCCAGCACTTTGGGAGGCCGAGGCAGGCGGATCACAAGGTCAGGAGAGCGAGACCATCCTGGCTAACATAGTGAAACCCCGTCTCTACCGAAAATACAAAAATATTACCCGGGTATGGTGGCGGGCGCCTGTAGTCCCAGCTACTTGGGAGGCTGAGGCAGGAGAATGGCGTAAAGGCGTAAACCCGGGAGGCGGAGCTTGCAGTGAGCCGAGATCGCGCCACTGCACTCCAGCCTGGGCGACAGAGAGAGACTCCGTCTCAAAAAAAAAAAAAAGAAAAAAAAAGGGAAAGGTATTAATATTTGTCAGTCTAGTTGTTTCTTCATAAAACTGTATTTAATGATCATGTTCTATCTGCCAGGCACTATACTAACACCTGTGGACACATCAGTAAACAAGACAGGTGAAGTCCCTGCTCTACATAGATTCTAACAGAGGAAGACAGACAAGAATTATAAAGAGAGATGGATGCATAGATGGATAGGTAGATAGGTAAACTCATAGAAGAAAGAAAGATAGATAGATAGATAGATAGAATATGTAGTAGATTAACAAGCAAAGAGGATTGTAAAATAGAGAATGATATGCTATAGAGGTTGAAAAGAAGAAAGTTCTTTGGTTTAAAATGTCAACGGATGGTGCTCTGAGGTAGTAATATTCAAGCTGAGATCAGAGTGACAAGAAAGGGCCAGCAAAGGGAAACACTGGGACAAGGGACAAGAAAGAGCATAGGGCCTAGTCCCTGCTGTAGACATCAGCTTACTGTATTAAAAGAAATGACCAAGAGCAGGTAGGACCAAGATGCAAGAGAATGGCAAAGCTAAGACCAGAGAGTTGGGGTGCAAGACATGATATTTGACCATGTGAACCATGGCAAAGTTGAGATGTATAAAGAGGATACACAGATATATTTAACTCACAGTTTTCTCAGATTGAAAGCCTAGAGTGATAGGTGCCTTTGCTCCATCCCCTCTGCAATTTCCCCCTCCCATCTTTCCTTTGTGCAATCAAACCACCTATAACTCAAAGAAAGCATATGATATATTAAATGCACAGCCTTTGCAGAGGTTACCAGGTAATTATATCCACTCAGCAGACATGTCTTGACCTCACACTATGTAGTAGTTGCTAAGAAAACATAATAATATTAATAATAACAATATTTATGGGAGTAGCTAGCATTTAATGAAAATTATTAGGAGCCAATTACAAGCACTTTGCTTTACACTCATGAAACTCCATGAGTTTCTACTATCATTATACCCATTTTCAAACAAGGGAATTGAATGACACATGACAAAACAGAATTCCTGCCCTCAGTTTATTAGATCGACATTTGAGCTAAACTATTCCAGTCCACCGTAATAGCTGTCACCGTGGAGGTTGAATAGGAACATAGAAGAGATTGAGGTAAGGAGAAATGAGAACTCTCTTTGTATTTGAAATCCAGTGTCCCTGTGAGGAACTCTAGGCAGCACTGTATAGCCAGAGGAGTGTCAGTGAGTGATTCAAGGTCATACAGTAAGGAAGGTGTGACTGTGGGCTTCTGCCGTCTAACTTCTCTGCAGTGCCCTACCCAGCCACACTCCTGGCCCTTCCAATGCACACTAAGCTGTTAAATTACCAAACAATATGTTACCTCTTTCTCAAGTATTTGCAGACCCTCTGATGAGCACAATGGTTCTTACCAAATAATGCATCATTATGTGTGACACGTTAGTGTCAGTTGTCAGCAACTCTTTAGTGTATTCGTGTGTATTGGGAGAAGGAAGAAGTGACAAAGTGCTGGAGGTAGGAAGAAGGGCATTTGGGAACATTCGCAGATCCTTCATACCAGTGCATTTGTTTTTCATAGGATCTGGAATCAGGATCTGAAAGTGGAGCAGATACCATTTCAGTAAATCAGACACAAGTAAATTTGCCTTCTAACACTGAGTCCACAGACCTCCCATCTTCCACCCCAGTGGCCAATTCTGGAACCAAACCCAAGACTACGGTGAGTTCTAAATGATAACAGACAGTCTTTACATGTAAATGTTGATGATCATCAGGTAAGAGTTGATATTCATTCAATATAGAAGAAATACTGTTGGAATATTAGCCATAGCGACTTAACAATATTTAATTTATTTGATTAAGTACAACCCTGGAAACATGTTGTTTGTTTTATAAATGATAACACAAGAACTTCACTGAAACAAGTCATGTATCAAGAATTATTCAAAACGTGCTAATTAAATTTCATTGCTAGATATTCAGAGCTTTAAAGAACCAAGAATGCAAAATCTGGAGATGGCTTTCCCTATGCTATCGTCCTGACCGCATTGCTTACCAGTTAGAAAATTGTTTCTCTAAGATGTGATGAATGATAGATGACAGATGATGATGGATGGATGGATGGACAGATAGATTGATTGATTGGTAAAGAGAAAGAGATGATAGAGATAGATGTAGATGGATGGATAGATAATAATTATATAAAGATATTTAGATTGATAGAGACACAGATTGATTGATTGATAGATAATAGGTTTATATACAGAGATATATAAAATCACCCACATCAAAAATTTTCTGTGGGAAGTAAATGAAAGAGCACATATAAAAAGTGCTTAGTGAAATGATTGGCACAGAATAAGTACTGAATAAATGTAAGTTACTGTCATTATTATTATGATACTTAGTAGACTTTACAATGCTATTAAAACAAATTATTCCACATGGAATAATATACTGTGAAAGGAGGAAAATGCTCTGGTTTGAAATGCTTCATGTGTAAATTGTGAATAAAAGACATTTTCCCTTAAGGAAAGAGTTGAAATGCAACAGGAAAATAGTATTTGACTCTAGAAGGTAACATTTATGGAGGAAGTAATTACCACTTCAAATATCTAAAATCCCAGTAGTTCCAAAATAACCTTTCCTAGTTTAGTGAAAATCATAGCGTCGTATTATTTTTTACGCCCATGGTAGCTTAACACAAAGAAACAAGTTTGGATTGCTTGTTCACTGCCTTTAAAATAAAAGTAAAGTCTAAAATAGGACTCAGAAGATAATGCTCTGATTTTAAAACATGATAGATTTGCTGCAATTGCAAGAAGAATGAAAAGATATCATTTAAATGACAGATATGCATGGTTTAAATATTTACATAGAAATTAAATTCCCTTTGTTATTTATATCTAAAACATTTTTATGGAATAAATATTTATTGAACATCTACTACATGCCATGCACTAGGCTACGTGAAAAAGACTTGGAGAAGAATAAAACATATTCCCTGTCTTTAAACAGCTTACATTCCAGCAAAAGGAGGTAAGTATGTAAACAGTGAAATGCTATACAAGCTATGATAATACTGCATATATTGGGAATAGGAGGAACTGGCAAGATAATTCACTTTTTAAAGCACCTGCTACTATCCTGCAGGGCAGTTCTTTTCTCCCTGATATAATTACCAATAGCATCCACTTTCTCTCTTGGAACATACAAATTTCAATGAGTGTCTCATAATTCATAACAAAGTATTGAAGAATGTGTGCAGTTGCTTAGTCTTTCTTCAGTTACCCCGTGTTTATAAATGTGGTCAATAGAGTTACACAGAAGTACATACACACACACACACACACACACACACACATATATATATATTTTTGAGATGGAGTCTTGCTCTGTTGCCCAGGCTGGAGTGCTGTGGCGTGATCTCGGCTCACTGCAAGCTCCGCCCCCCAGGTTCACGCCATTCTCCTGCCTCAGCCTCCCGAGTAGCTGGGACTACAGGCACCCGCCACCACGCCGGTCTAATCTTTTGTATTTTTAGGAGCGACTGGCTTTTACTGTGTTAGCCAGGATGGTCTTGATCTCCTAACCTCGTGATCCGCCCACCTCAGCCTTCCAAAGTGCTGGGATTACAGGCGTGAGCCCCCGCGCCTGGCCTATTTTTCTTATTTTTTAAGTTCCAGGATACATGTGCAGAACGTGCAGGTTTGTTACATACGTATGTATACGTGTGCCATAGTGGTTTGCTGCACCTATCGACCCGCCACCTAGGTTTAAGGTGGGAATGTAAATTAGTTCAACCATTGTGGAAGTCAATGTGACAATTCCTCAAGGTCCTAGAATCAGAAATATTTGACCCAGCAATCCCATTACTGAGTATATATCCAAAGGAATATAAATCATTCTTCCCTAAAGACACATGTACATGCATGTTTATTAAAGCACTGTTTACAGTAGCAAAGTTATGGAATCAACCCAAATGCCCACCAACGATAGACTGAATAAAGAAAATGTCGTACATATACACCATGGAATACTATGCAGTCATCAAAAGGAATGAGACCATGTCCTCTGCAGACATGGATGAAACTACACTTTTGTTTTGAGGGGAATAATTGTTTCACTTTGTGTGGAGGTGTTTCCTTTTTTCTTGTTATTGGTGTTGCTATTCTTTTAGGTACACCCTTTTCACTACAGTTCAAAAGTAATTATTGGGCCATGGATCAGTTTTCTGGTTGGAATATCAGAATGAAGAAATTTGTCTCTGAGAGATTAAACAGATACTTTCTCCCACAATTTGGAGCTTAAGGAATAAATGATATGTAATAACAGTCTAGATACTTTATGAAGAGAGAGAAAACTGTGATAATTTACAGAGCTGTTCTTTTTACCATGAACAAAAGTTTTAATGTTAATATTAAGTAGAAATATGAAATTCTAAGAACACCTACTTAATACATCAAACTATAATGAACTAACAATTTGACAGCATGCCCACCTTCATTCCATAATTAAGGTTACCTTTGATTTGCTGCTATGAAATCTGTTTATAGTGGTGACCACAGTAACAACCACAGAAATTTGGCTATCCTTTTGTGTGTAAGGTCTCTGGGTTTCTAAATGTCTATTTTTCAATAAGATTATTTTTCTTTTAAACTTAGAATAGGACCAATGAGTCATCATCAGATTTTTCATTAATTCTATGTATAGATCATGCTGAAAGTTAAGCATTAATATAGATTTCTGAGATGTATTTCATAAAAAAAATGAAAAGGTTAAAATGTAAGTGATCCACTGTCAAAACACACATTAGTAAAAAGAAGAGGCCTATTGTGTAATGTCACCAAGCTCATCAATTTCTCTCCTAAATTCTGTTTGGTTCTTTTGACACAGTCTCACAATACTTTTCACACTAGACTCTTCTATAAACAACCCGCAGCCCCTGTATCATTTTATGTAAAGTGCTTTGATTCACTGTACAGCGGTACACTGATATCACTCTTTCTTCAGTGACTTGAGTTGTTCCTGGTATTAATTAATATAGGATTGTTTCATGAAAGGTTTTAAAGCTGAACATGAAAATCGCTGAAGTTTTGTGATAGTTGTTTTTCCTAAAGATACTTTACTTATAAGTGCAGATATTCATTAAATCAGTATTAATCAAATATTTATGAAAAAAAGAGCCAAGCCCCAGATAACAAGAAAAAAAATTGCTGTTTGTAAAATAAGTAACTGAAGGAACAAGGAGAGTCTAGCATTCTACTGTGTAGAATAACCAAGATCATCATCAAGAGTACACAGGATATGGTACCCAGATCCTCAAGGCTCCTGAACACTATACTACACCCAGATTCACAGGCTTAGCACCTGGATTCAGGACTAATATAAATTGGCTTGAGCTGTTATTATATCAGAAACAAAATGTCACTAATATTTGAATACTCAATGTGAACAAGAAAAGGTTTACTGAACAATAAAAAACAATGCCTGGCTCATCAAAGCATAGTGTAGGTTACATGCTTCTAACATCATTTTCTAAATCATACATCCACCACAGATTTTACATATATATGTTTACATATGTATATGTGTGTGAATAAATGTGTATATATGCATACACATAAAATAGATTATATATGCATATATTTGTGTACTTGTGTGTGTGTATATATATTCACATCAGATGTTATTTTTCAAAAATAACATATTTTCTGAAGTGTTATTTTGATGTTATTTTCAAAAAGCCTGTGTTGAGTAATTCTTAACTATGCAGAATTTTTAAAGCGAACCAAATTAGTAATTATTAAGTTCTTATGTAATCATATAATCTGTCCGTATAAATGATATTAATTATGTATAAAACTGTTGCTCAGGATAAACACAGAAACCACAAATGCAGATTTGTTTATTGTTACCAATGTATAGTGTAGTTTTGTTTGTATCTGGGATAGAAGTTTCAGCTCTGGAATGATCTGAGAAATAGTTTCAAAACAGAACAGCTTCTAAGGTAGAACAAAGGTTAATGGGTGCGTTTTACAAATAATAATCAACTTGTTAATTATTGCCACTGAAAAAGTAAGAATTCCATGTGGCGCTGCTTAAAAATAAAAATTACAAGGCCAATAAAACACGATTTCAGGGGAGAGTTTATTAAAGATGTCTAAGACAGTCTGATTGGGAGCATGACATTACTCCATGATGAATTAGCCACAAGGGATTAGGAAAAAAAAAATTCTTATTTTGGAATTTATTAATCAACTACATTCCTGAACCTGTAAAATTATATTTTAAATTATGCATGCATAATTTATATATGCATGCTTTTACATATTTTTATACATAATTTTTGAATGTATACATTTACACATTTCTGGGAAGACTGTCAAGAACTCCATCAGACTTTAAAGACTGTGTAACTCCCCATAAAGAAATGTTACATTTGAGTTTTCATAGTTCAGTCAGTTATTCAGTGAAGCAACTCAGTATTGAACATGTGAACATCTTTGCTACAAATAATAAATATGCTGCAGGTACATCGACAAGGATTACTTCGTTTTGGGTTTATTTCCTAATGGATCATTGCACGGTATTACCTTTGCAATAAATTAGGCCATACTTTAGGTATATTTGAAAACTGATTCTTCTATGAAACTATAAAATGTCATTTGCATTTGTTCCAACTATACCACATATAAGCAAGAATAAAACTGATCCAGA